GAAACAAACTTATGAACGGTTGCGGGCTTATTTCGAATCGAAATACCGTAAAATATCTCCAAATTGTAATTTAAGTATAATTTAAATATCGAATAGCATGACAATATTTATAAATATAAAATTCTTATTTCATTCATTTGAGACTTACAGGTTCTAATGATTGATCACATCAGTACTATATTATCAAATTGTGCTGGCAATCTCATCTATTATCGCTTTAAAAACAAGCTACTTAGTATGACATTAATTAATATACCCGTTACAGAACCCAATGAAAAAAATGATTCCTTCAATTTAAAACCCTAATAGAAAAATTTTTCGAAATGTTCACCAAACATAATTAAAATAAGTTGTGTAAAAGTAAAACCTTTTGTAACCGGGAACTAACTGTTTATAATATACACAACTTAACAGTTCGTGCGTGGCGCTTTGGACTAAACGTGTTGTTTACATGATTCGAAAGTCACACATTTCCCAAACTAAATACAGCAACTTAATTTGCTATCTGTTCTTGTAAAAATACTTTTTGTTTTATTAAAATGTCACGAGCGTTCGAAAAAAAAGAGCTACACAAAATTAAAAGCAATAAAAATAGGTTTTTAAACGATTCCAAATTGTTTCAAATTCTTAATTAAAAAAAAAAAAACAATATGGTAGTAAAAAAGTTTACGGAGAAATGAAAGATAAGCTCATTTTAAGATAACGCGAGGAATATTTTACAGGTATATACGGACTTGTTTTTGGCAGTTATGTTCAGATAGGAAGAACATCCAGCACATGGCAACTTCCACAGAAGTCGATCTTGTACTACAACTTTATACTTTTAGGAAGAACAAAACTTAACGCTATCTGCGGCATGTTAATTATTAAATACCCTACCAACATGATGACTTATGGTTTTGCAGATAAGTGAGGAGAATTGTGAAGCTCGCTGAGTGCTGAGTTTGGTCAAGATATCTCGAAGAACATAGCATTTTTCAGTTTAAATGGGTACGTACTTATAAATACGTACGGAATATATTATTTCGAAAAAAGTTCACACAAAAGTTTAATATTTTCTATAATATAGTGGTTTGATCCGGTCGTGTCATATATATATATATATATATATATATATATATATATATATATATATATATATATATATATATATTTATATATATATATATGGTGTTGAAGATGCCTCCTTCCATGAATAGTACATCTCATGAGAAAACTTTAATACCCTCTATAAAGGCATAAACAATACACCTGTTGAGGGTACTGAACTTGAGCTTCAGTACATGAGCAATTCCTGTTACATAGATAAGAATCTCGAACGATGTATGAGCATCTTCACATCCGAGTTCCCGACTAGGGGATACCCTGAAACATCTTCTACCAACTCAAAACCAACTCAAAAAATAAATTAAAAAATAAAAACAATTTCTTCAATAGGACTCGAACACTACTTGCCTCCGCCTCTACTCAACAGCCACACCACCAATTGACTATATGCGCATGAATGTGTGTGTGTACATGTATACAGATGTTCTTGCAATTTGCGGTAGCTGCCGCTGACACGTGGGCTGCCAATATATATCTAACCACACGTTTTCTTTAATAACATCTGTGTTTCTTAACCGATCTCGATGAAATTTTCAACAGTTGATCTTATTGTACTATAGAATATTTGTATATTATCAACAAGTTAATTTAAATAAAATTGTGGATTTAATGGGTGGGTAAATAGGTTTAGTAACTTGGTATATAGATATGTGTTGTTAGCGGGGTGGTGACGATAGCTATAAAAGAAAGATACTTGATGTATATATACTATTCTAGAAGCTACACGTCTTGTTTGGTGGCTTTAGCTCTTATAACTTACGGGTTTTGCTCAAAAAACAGAATTTCGATATCGATTTTTATCGATCACGGGAAAGCGGGACAAGTTATCGATTATCCGAACCAAACTCGTACTGCGCGGGCACTAGGAGAAACAACATTCCAAATTTCAGTCTCTAGCTCTTATAGGTTCTGAGATCCTTGCGATTATACATACGGACATACGAACGGACAGACAGAAGGGTACGACATGCTAGATCGACATGCTATTGATGCTGATATATATACTTTATGGGGTCAGATATGCTTCCTTCTGCCTGTTAGATACATTTGCGCAAATACATTATACCCTTTTTACCCTTTTTTAATGGGTTCAGTGAATGTGTGGCGAACATATTCTACTAGTCAAACTTGCTATGCTGTTGCATTATGTTGAATTCTTTAATGCTTGGCAGCGGGCATCTTCCATCACATAAACGTATTATATATATAAAAGACATAAACTAACATCCAATGCGTCACCATATTATATAGAACTTTCCTCTAAAGTGCTATATCATATAGTTTATAAGAGATATGCCAGAGCTTCATTTTTATAAATTGCTAAGAATTGGGAAAGCATTAGCGGGTAAGTTTGCATACTTTTTGGCTGAAAAACACCGATCATTTCAGCGAGATTTCTTATTATAGTGGCCCAAGCCTGGTGAGGAAATGTAGCTGTGAAATGCATATATTTTATAAGTATATAAATTAAATTAATATTTTATAGTTCATTATTAACTACATAAGTCACAATTCAGTATGGTTATATAAAATAAAAATTATTTAAATTAAAAATTAATATATACCAAAAATTAATTTCAAATTTATTCATATTTCAGCTAGCTTGGCTCGCTGCAGAGTAGTAAAAACACATAGTAAAAATGTAATGAAAACCTATTTTATGCAGATACGATTCACAAACTGTAGGTGAGGCAAAAAGCTATGGCAATATGAATCTTAGATTGATATCATTAATACGATAAGACTAAAATAAAGATAACATAAGCTGGCGCTTCTTCTACTGCATAGAAATCTTATCTATAAGCCGCCTGTTGTGAGTGAAATATTTTTCATTCTACTTAAGATTGATTGTTTAATATTTGAAACATTCTTTCAAACATAAACCCTACATTATTAAGCAGATAATTATTTAATCAGGAATATTGGCTCGTAGAAAGAGCTAAAATAAAAGGTAAAATAAAAGGTATCCAAGCTAAATTTGTTGCCTCTATACCAGATTCTTTCTCAAGGGAGAAACCGCATCTTATAGATTATTTAGCAAAAAAAAGAGACTTAAAATTGGTCTTAAACAAAACCTAAACTGATTGAAAGACAAACGACATAAATATCCCAAGCAAGAAATTATAATAAAGCTTTCGATACACTTTGGAGGTATTGCCAATATTAGCTGCCCCTTTTTTTTGTCATTTGTCGCTATTTATTTTGATCGATATTGAATTTCCAATTAACGCAATGGCCACAACTAGACACCCTACAATTGTGGGGTGGCGCGACTTGGTAGACACATGTAAGCCGCATGCCACCGTCTGTTAATCAGCTTCAACCTCTTATCAATAACTTTATTCGTGTATTGTTTGTTTTTGCACTCTGTATATTTAATGCGATTGTTTACAAATTTTACTAATATAATAAATGACAATTACTGGGCTGTTAGGCCGTTTATCAGCTCTCTGTTCAGTCGGATAAAGCGCACCAGCCGGACGGCAGACAGACAGCCCAGTTTGCTTTCAGTTTCCAGTTCACAGAGTGCCCCGCAGTCTATTTGACTTGGGACGACTCGTCAACAGTGGGCAATCAGATAGAGTAGTTGAAAGTCATTCTACGCATCCAGAGATTCCAGCGTCAGTTTGCGGCGATAATTCGCGAGAGCCGGACCGTCGATACTTATCAATCCGCTGGTCTATTTAAAGTCTTGCCTAAGGATATTCAAAATCCTTCTATAAAATGGCTAACAAATCCCTAATGAAACGGGCCACGAATATAAGTGCCGGTCAATTGCATTATTATCACACGGATTTTTACTACTCGATGCCCGATTTGCATAGTAAGTGTTGACAAGTTTCCAAAAAAGGAAATATTAATTCCATTTAAAGACTTAATATTTAAAAAGTGGTCAATTCTGCGAGATGAAAAATTAATTTGCTAGAAATCCACACGAATTTCTTTTATTTACTCCGTCAATTAATTATTTTAATTTTAATAAATATTCTTTTCTTAATTCCTAGTGAAATAAAGTAAAAATACAAGACTTTTTATGGGGAAATCTTTACACTTTGGCATTTTACTTGCGGTTAGATTATAATAAAGTGCCTTTAACTTATGATTTTTACTGACTTCCTTTAACTCTTCTTTTTTTCTGTTCACCGGAGTTTTATAAATTGGGCTCTTAAACTTCCATTAAAAATCAAGTCGGGTTGTTAAAGATTAAGTAAACTACGACAATAAATATATTATCACGTACTCAACCTCTTTAAAAATAATAAAATTGCACATTCATACTGACATGCATATACACAAAGTATATGCATGTCAAGATACAGGCTATCTTCTTTCTTCTGGTCTTTAAAAAAGATAAAACTCTTTTAAAAACAAGCTGTGTTTATTATTTGCGGTAATATAACTAACAAATATTAAGCTATATATAACAAATAACATTTATTGTTTTTTGGTAAAAATGCTTAACTTAAATTTGACTTGATGGGCAACAATTTAACTATAGATAAAAGCACAATATATAATTATAAATGTATATTGTGCTTTTGATGTAAATAATGTTATTATATCTTTTTCCCAATAATATTGTGTACAGGGTATAAATAAGTCAAGTTTCGAACCAATGACGGCATCGCAGCCAACTTCACATCAAAACAAATGGCGTTTTCTCTGAGAACTGTTTTGATTTTCCTTGCAAACCAGCCCCATGGTCCCAAAAGAGAGAAAACGTGAGCGAGAAGAGAGCCAAGAGAGAGGTAGAGAGCGCGCGTGCCTACAATGGCGCTTGGTTAATCTCGTTGTTTTTCATATTGTACGATGACGAAAATAATTTCCATTGCAACAGCAATGAGTAGCGGTTTTTTGGCAGTCAGTCAGTCTGTCGTCAGTTGTCAGTTGGAAGCGAGCGTGCGGCGAGTTACTTGGCAAATATTTCGTAATTTCCATAAAGGTTTTTAATTAAAATTAAGGAATTGTAAAAGAAAAAAATAATCAAAATATTAAAAAAATAAAGACTATATATAAAGAGCAAATAAAAACAGTTCATCGTCAAACGAAAAAGAAACATAAAACAAAAATAAAAATAGTCACAAACAGAAATTGTTAAAGCAGTGAGAGCAGCGCGCCAAAGAGAGTGCTTCAGAGAGTGCCACAAAAGTATTCGAGAGATAACATTTGTGTTGATAAAAATGTGTGTCAAAATATCATAAACATACAAAGATGAAACAAAGCCAAGAGACGCCAAATAATAATAATAATAATAATTATAATGCGCGATGATGAGCAAATGATAATGACGAAAACACTGAACGTGTAGATAACGGAATTTTTAGTTTGTTTTCCGAATCCTATTAATCTATACAAAGTAGGGAATATGGCAATATGACAAAAGCAAGAGAACAGTAAACAAAACAAACTGCACGCAAATAATATACAAAGAATTTTGCACTCATCACGCAGCTGACAGCGCTGCTGACGTCGACGTTGACGTTGACGTTGTCGTTAAGCCAAAACGTAAATAAGCTAAAAAGCAAAGCCAAATAAACATGTAAGTTTACAACAAAAAGAACATAGAACGACAAGAACAACAGAAACATGAGAATTAGACATGAACAAGAACAAATACTATACAGCGCACCTATACCTATGCATATATACAAATACATACGCATACATTCGCGTACATGAGTACGCGTACTTAAGTACATATGTATATACATATGTATATAAATTTTATTAGAGAAGAATTAGCCCAGGTAGTTCAAGTTTACGAGTATCTAGGATTAAAAGAGAGCCTAAAGGCGGCCCAATTCCCGCCAACTTAAGTATGAAATTCCATATTCCGAAATGTATTATGTAGAAGTTCGGGAATGACCGACTAACAGGTGCCCTGAAGCCAGCGCCGAGCATATTCTAGCTTTCTTCTTGCAGCACATACTATGCTAGGGAAACACAATCTTAAGTAACTTCGTGGTTTATGGTGCGATCTTAATGGAATTTTTTGACACTAAATATATCACACAAAAGTGTGTATATACCAAAACGCAAATAAAAAAAAAGTTTTTTAGTGGAATAGGGGGAATGTACAATGTGTTTAATCTATATATACTAATATAATCTACGTATCAGGTTTAGTGTTTAAATTTCCTCAAACTCTCCGGTTATGATAAAAATCAAATTTTTTGAAAACATATATTCTTTACGATTTCGGAAATGCATTTGCTTGCCTGTTACAGATCAACATTTACACAAAATCATCATACCCTTTTACACATTTTCAATGGGTATAGAAACTATTAAATGTCTTTCGAAAATGAAACCCTATTCATTTTTATGAGCTTCAGTTTGTTCAGCTGTACACATTTCCCTTTAAATTACAAAACTTTTAGTTTTTGATTGCAGGCTGATATTATTATAGATTATTATTGACTTAAAGTAAAAAAAAAAACGTTCTATCATAATCCTTGGTTATATTCATTAACAAACTTCTTAACTGAACTCTTTGGCGTTCTGCAAAACCGGTCTTGACTCTTTAAGTTGTTTGCATGCTTCGCCTAAAACCTGTACACGCTAAATATTTTCAATGACATGTCAAAAATTTATCCGCCGTAAACCGGCTGGAAAATAAAAAATGTATGAATTTTGGTATTTGAAAAGCTGTCGTGACCACAACGAAAGCGAAGACAAATTTGCTTAGTTGCCAGGGAAATGCTCGACCTATGACATTACCTGAGGCCATGGACATTAAGCGGAAACTAAATGACGTTCGCTGACCACCCAAGAGAGTTTTCACTGTACCAGATGCACCGAATGTAGCTAGGATCTACCTAGGCAGCCGTATTGCGCAACGTTTTGGGGCGACATGGAATAGAATCAAAAGTCGTGCTTCTTCTTGAATTTGTACAGAAAACTAGAACTTATCAGTAATACGACATTTTATATGATACTCTTAATTCCCCACTGTTCTCTTCGTCAAACTGTTTCTGATTCAATATGGTTTATTATGGCTCAGCCCTGAGGCCGTTGTTATCAAGTACTTCAAATAGGTTGTACGCAAAAGTCTGAGAGAAGTCTAGGTATATACGTAAACTTTGTTGCTTTTCAGCTGTCTGATTGTTGTCAATTTATAAACAATTAACAGCGGCCATATTAGCAACTGTCTGAAATTATACAATTCTAATCAATTTTGAATTATAAAGATTAATATTTTTGTTGTTAAGAGCATTGATCGATGTCAGCAGCCAGCTAACAAATGGCTAACACTTTAGTTATATGAGTCAAGAACATACATTATTATTATTTCACTTTCAACTTCAACAAAGCACAAATAAATGAGATACGATTAGCCAAGAACATGAGCCAAATAATAAAATAATCGACAAAAACGTGATGGCAACGCGACTCATAAACATATGTGATGTGTATAATTAAACGTTCCATTTTTCCCGAGTCCGATTTGCTCAAGCAGAATATATATTTTGAAAACGAAACTGATAGCGCGTGGGGTTTATGGCTAGTGAGCACCAGTACATTGATAAGCCGCAAAATAATAACAACTTGGCATTTTCATATAGCACCTACATAGGAAAATATACCCTATCAGACTTGGCGTTCGAGAGCGATCGGTAATTATGAATTCTAAAGGCCGTCGATTGCCCAACAAACTTCGAATTTATGACCAACGTTAGTGTTAGTAACTAAATAATAGACAGCCAAGCTAATGTTGCCTAAATAGATTAAAATGGAGTCGTCGAATTGAATAAGAATCATTATGTTTTTACCAACACCTGCATATATTTTCTTATGATAAATAATTCTCATCTTTTGAAGTGTGCGAAATATCAGTGCTTTATCGCATATGTCGAGTATTCATTTATAATCTATAAACAGTTTATAAATATATTTTTAATTATCATATAATGTTAATTAACACAAGCTTAATAATTTGCTAGAGCACAGTTAAGTTAATTAACAGTTCGAGCCCAAAAGTATGCAAGAGGAAATGATCTAAAATAAGACTCTAAATCTGAGCTCAGAAAAAAAACAATTGTTAAAGTGGATACGATAAGATCCACATAAAAATAATTTACATTAAAGCGTCTAATAATAAATTTATAAATTTATATATACGATAGATCCAAATAAAAATAATTTACATTAAAGCGTCTAATAATAAATTTACATTTTTTTGTATAAGAAATTCAAAGAAACCTTTTTAAAGAATTTAAGTAATATATCGTACATCATATGTATATATAAATATGGCTTTAATATCAAGTGTTTTCGTTATATAATGGTATTACTATAATACTTTTAAAGATGAACTCTTTATCACATCGACAATGGCAATTGTTTTCGAATAAAATTATAAAATATGATTTTAGATCGGATAGGCCCCAAACTCATTTTCAAAGATCTTTGTTCAAATTCAATTGAGGAGTGTTTCACACTTTTCGGAAAATCCGCTCTTGCTCGGTGTAAATGGGGGTCAAGGATTTAGTGAGTGAAGTTTTGCGTTCAAATTCATTTCTAAAGATCTTTACGAAAAATGATTTGAGACGTATCATGGATGATAAATAATAGTAAAATTTTAGTCTTGTAGATACGGTCAAGGCCGGGGTATACCCGCTAGTATATTTTAAAATTATAAGTTAAGACCTAAAACTGGGAATTCGTTTATGGTTTATTTTCAATGAAGTTCAAAATATATTTTGGTCCAGCACAATTTTTTCTTGCTTTCTTTCCCCAACTTCACGACCGCGTGGACGTCTATACGTAAAAGGGAACCACAGCCAACAAAATGACCAACTCAAAGGGTTATCGTCGCGGCACCAGGGACATGTTCTCTCGCCCATTCCGTAAGCATGGTGTCATTCCCCTGTCCACGTACATGCGCGTCTTCAAGAACGGCGACATTGTTGACATCAAGGGACACGGTGCTGTGCAGAAGGGTATGCCCTACAAGGCATACCATGGCAAAACTGGCCGCATCTTCAATGTTACACAACACGCCGTTGGTGTCATTGTAAACAAACGTGTGCGCGGCAAGGTTCTAGCCAAGCGCATCAACGTGCGCATCGAGCATGTGCATCACTCCAAGTGCCGTGAGGATTTCCTGCGCCGTGTTAAGGAGAACGAACGTCTGCTCAAGGATGCCAAGGAGAAGGGTAAATGGGTCAGCCTAAAACGTCAGCCCGAGCAGTCTAAGAAGTCACATTTCGTCAAGAAATTGGAAGAGCCCATCGCCCTGGCGCCAATTCCATATGAATTCGTTGCCTAAGCTTAAAGAGAAAAGATGAGTTTGTTTACGATTTGTAACTGTGTAGATTGGCCGATTCTAAACTAAGTTTCAAATAGAATTGATTTTCTATATACAAAAAAAAAAAAAAAAAAAAATATGACTATGGGTTCGAAACTCTGCTCAAGGCCAGATCAATATTTATAGTTAAAAATAATAACTAATAATAATGGAGACCTCAAATTACATCTTTGGAATTTCTTTACTGTGGTATAAAAATTACATACTTATAATAAAAAATTAAAATAGTTAAAATAACAACAATATGTCTTCATTTTGTGGCATAAAAAGAATATGTTTATAATAATTCAAATTGTTTAAATAACAACAATATCTGAATTCTTCAAATAACATCTTTGAGATTTATTTGCTGTCGATTTTTTCATAGATGAAACCCAACTTTAAAATTCATCAAAAATCAATAAGAATAGACAAATAATTAAGCAAAAGTTTACCGAATAAGATCAAGAAATTGGGGACCGTCAGAAAAAAAGCGTAGAACACTAAACACTAATTAAATAGAGTCTGTCACTTAGCGCTTGGTTTTGTGGCTCCGCATGAAGCCTGCAAATAGCTTGGGCACATATTTGAATAAAATATGCCATTGTTGGGGCTTGTTGATAGACCAACTAGACTCAGCTATTTGTTTGGAGGCAACACTCACGCCTCCGAGCCTCTTAAAGCTTCTACGCTCTTTCTACGCCTCGAGTCGTGCGATAAAATTAATGGAGAACCGCCCTCTGAGGCAGCAGTCTAATTTGATAATCGCACTATCAAATCAGTTCTCAAAAAGTCTGCCTTGGCGAAACACGCAACGCGCAGTGCTAAAAAAGAATATTTTTAAAAGATTGCTTAAAGGATTTCCTTTTGAAAAAATAAAACCAGATCAAAATGCAACAAATTACGGAATATCATTTTGAAGGTGGGGAAAAACGTGAGAAATTATTAATTTGAAGAAACTTAAAACTTGAAGCACATTTTAATTAAACACGAATTAAGAAAATATTAAGATTTATCAGTAAATGAGAGAGCTCTTATGTGAAACAAAATATTATTCAAATTCAATTTAAGTTGTTTAAGTATTTTCGTTTTTTTTTGGATCTCATTTGAGTGAATCATGAGTTAATCGATAAAAGTCTTAATACTTCGTCTACTCCTTTTCATTTGTATATGTATTTTTTTTTCGTAAGCCATTGTGGGATTAAATATTTGTAATTTAATTATTCCAATAAGTGAGAGTTGTCTACTTTATCGGTTCTGTAAAGTTTAGAATGAAACAAATTGAAAATCTTGACTAGTCATAGTCTCAAAAAAATGTTATATATTTAAGCAAGTTTATACAAGTTCCGCAGTTCTACAAACTGTCTGCTTATCTGAAACTTATCTTTTATCTATCTGTTTCGTTTCAGAGACCCGCAAAATGCACGGCGTCAAGCGCGTGCTGGTGTTTTGCATTATGATTGTGATACTGCCAGCGATTTTGATCATAATGCCGCTCTATATGCGCAAGACGATATTTGCGGATGTTATCTATCCGGTTGCGGAATCGGATATCATTGAGATCAGGGATGGCATCTCATCGATATTCTGTTCGAGGCACACGCTGCGCATGAGCAGCAGTTTCAATGCGTTTCAGCTGCGCAACAAGCCCGAAATATCCACAAATCGCAAGCATATAAGACTTAAGAAATCGATGACTTTGCCGGACGATACCCTCGAATATTGGGGCTTCTTTTTGCTCAACGGGGCGCGAGTGTCCCTCAAGTTCTGCTCACGATACAATGGCGCTCGCATACTGGTGATCAAGGGCAAACGCGAGCTGAAGCTGTGCGGCTTGACGGATCACAATAAGAACAAGCAGGGCGCCAACTACGCACAGGGTCACGAGCAGGTTAAGGTATTCTTCGAGGATGTGGTGGAAATAACCGAAGAGAAGGGGCCAGCCGATGGCCTGCAGGAGCATGAGAATCATGGCGGCGAAGATCTAAGCGAGGATCTGGCTACGGTCAATGTAAGCACAACGCCGTCGCCCGCCAAGCGTCTGAGGAAGAAGCTCAAAAAGGGCACGCTCCATCTGGCGCCCAAGTCCATGGAGTTAGTGGAAGGCAATGAGAGCAACACGCCAGTATTGCCAGCCAATCGACAGAGGCGACACACAGATCTGCCGGCGAAGCAGGAGCAGCAGCAGGAGCAGGAGGAACAGGAGCAGGAGAAGGAGCTGCGCAAGCAAGAAGTCTACGAGCAGCTGTACAAGCGCAAGGAGAGGCAGAAGCGTGAAAATGTTTACGACCGGAAGTACAGTCACGGCGGCAATGCTGTTAACTTTACGGAAACCGACGAATCGAACTCCATATCGAGCTTTGAGACTGGCCTCTTTGACTGCTTCAATGGCGCCATATTGCTGGCGGAGGGCTTTCCACCGAAGCCGGCGTGCATGAATGCGCATTTTCTGGAGAAGGGCAAACACGACACGGTGAAGCATAATATCACCGAGGATGGCTACTACTACTATATATTCTACAGTGACAACGATCTGGTCCGCAACGATATACACGCCATATTCGATATATATAAGCCAACATTTCAGTACTCGAACTTGAGTGAATCGCGCGGCTGTCTGAACAGCACCGATTGCAGTTTCAACATTGGTTTCCTCTCCGATGAAATTGTCGTGGTCGAGGTGCCCACACGGGATGGCATTGAGCACGAGGAGGATGATATTACAAATCTAATCTCGACATGTCATCCGCGCAGCGAGATTTATGCACTGTTTCCCATAACCGTGCTGGTGCTCATATTGTGCTGCTCATTCCTGTAGGACTTGATCACAGTTTTGTACTCTAGGAATTTTGTGATATTCTCCTATTGAGATAATCGAGTGATATACGTGGGCATGATTAACCCATATGGCAGGCCCAGAAGCAAACATTTTCCACAGTCTGAATCCATGTGTAACCAAAACAAATCAACTGAATATTCATAAAAGGAGATACTATATAATTTTGTAGGCCAACATCTAAGTCTAAGACTCAAGCATTTAGGTTAGAAAAGCGACAAAAGAACTATGTAAAATTGCTTAATAAAAAGGACATCAATAGATATATAAAAATCTTTGTACAAATATATTGTGCTATATTAATCTTAAGTTGAATATAGTTTTGTAACCTAGAGTAAGAAAATCATAATATAATATAACATAATTTCAATTTGATTGATATAATTTTATAACCCAAGCAAAGATTAAACTTGACCAAGCTACAAAATAACAATTTTATTCTTATGTTTTCACCGATTGCAATCGATTGCAGCTTAAAGTTAATTTTTGAAAAATATTTCCTACTATCTAACAATTTGTATAACATTTTATAAGTTTTGATTCATTGACAAAACAAAGCGAGAAAAGAAAAAACGAAATAACAATTTGTTTTGGCCCATACAATATGTGTGTTTATTTAAGTTATTTTAAATTAATTCACACGCAAACTATTTCGCTTGCAGCGTGACTCTTGATTTTACTTAGTACCATTCAACAAGAATAATGTAAATACCTGTCATATACATATATTAGCGAGCCTATCTGTATACGTGATGAAATAAATAATACGAAACCTATATGTATATTGTCATCAAAAATAAATTAATTCACTGTGTAGATGTGTACGATACATGTTTATTATTGTTGAAAGTGTAATATAGACATGTTTATAAGATTAGCAAATAGAAATACATACATATATGTATAAGGTATGTATCTAAAACGTACACACGCAAGTGCCTTTAACAATTTACTGATTGCTAAATAAAATATGTCAAATTTAACGTCTTTATATACGTAGCAAATAAAGTTCGCGACTAATCAATATTAATTTGAGAAACTTCTAAGAGATTTCCTATTTCATAGCAGCCAAGACGATCGCTTCGCAGTGACATACAAAAGCTTATGGCTATGGCACGCAGGTTGTGAACTTTGCTAGATATTGAGACTTACAAGAATTCAGCTGTTCCTATCTCATAGATAGTAAGATACTTCACTGGCATTCTTATCGCAAGAAGTTGTGTTCAAATGTAATCTAAGAAAATGGTAATTTGTTGGAAATACCTAAGAGCGAGAACATTTCTTGTTGCCGCAAATTGACAATTATATTTACTTTAATTTCAGAAAGTTATATGACAAAGCTCATACAATAACCTGCCTTAGGTGAACAGAATCATTTAATTGATTCAGATTGATTGATTCAGTGGAATTGCTCTCACCAGAAAGGTAAAAACTTAAAAATATCAATATCGATTTTACATATCTTTATAAGTTTATCGAAAGTTATTAATTAATGAAAATAAAAAAATTGATAATATTGATATCTAAGTATATTACCTCTGCGAAACTTTCCAGCCCGCATGCGAAAGACATTCATATTCTTCAGATGTGTCTAAGTATGACAACTCTGCTTATACTAAAATGTTAGAAAATACGTCTAACTGACAATAGCTTAGCCTTAGTAATTTTTTACTTCTTCCAATTTAAACAGTACTTAATAACTAGCTCGTAATCGATTTAGATAGAGGACACTTAAGTATTGTGCTACAACAAATAGGTTTTCTTTTTGTAATAGAATAGCTATTTTATATTTTATTTTAAGGATCTTGTGGACTAGAGAGACAAATTTTAAGCCAACATACCCCCAAAACAAGCCCTCAGTACAAAAGGTCCTGTACAACAGCTGTTTTTCCTAGCTTTCTTACGAACTCTTTCGCTCACAGTAACGCTCTCTTTGCTCTCGGGAAACTCTCATGTCACAGCTGTCATACACACCTGGGTTGTGCTGGGGGTAGCTAATCTACAGCTCTAACTGTAAGACCTAATATACAATACTCTCTCAGACACACTCTCACTCTCTCTCTCCCTCTCTGTCTCTCTTTGCCCTCTTGATAAATTCTTATTAAATGCATTCATATTGTATGGGTAGATTAAGTTAATTGGGCTGCATTATCAAAAACGCTCAGCAGCCGGCCGCATGCCGGCTTTCGCGCAGTTGACGTAATCTCTCACTCTCTCCGGCGTCTCTTCCAACAGCCGCCCTCTTTTCATATGTAAAATTGGGGCAACGCATGCGTCGCTCTCCCGACGCCGCTCGGCGTCGCTCGTTGTGCTCATAGGGTCAGCGCACATATGAGTTCTAAAATTCCTGCTCCCTCACTTGCTCTCTCTCGCTCTTGCACTCTCCCCTTATTATTCGATTTGTGGGTCTCGGTTGTCACAAATTTCGCGCGTTTGCCGCAGTTGCCGTTTTCTTGTCACTTCGTGCGCTCGCGCGTTCGGTTCGCATAGTCGGAAAAATAATTTTTGTAATTAAATAGTATTATTGTTGTTACTATATTCCTAGTTTAGTCGCGCCTCTATTAAATACAACAATTAAAACAAATCGCATGAATGTTAAACCAAACAATTAAATTGTCGCAAAAACGTGAGTGCGCAAATCTAGACAAAAGAGCAGCTCGGCCCCTGGGTGCGTCCTGCGTCACAACAAAGAACGGACAAAAGTACACAATAAAAAAAAAAATTATCAAAAACAACAACAACAACAACATAATGCGAATAAGTGTGCTAAAAATCAATTGTAAGTAGCCAAGTGGAGTGCTAAAATGCTGTAATAAAGCTAAAAACAGCAACAAAAATAAGTAAAAAAAATCATTAAAAAAATATTAACAAAAATAAGCCGAAGAAAAGTTAAATATTTTGGTCAGCGTTAATTTACTGGGCCCAGCCAGCAGTACGCTTAGTATGTCAAAACCGAAATCCAATGGGAAAGCATAAAAAACATAAAAAGTGCATCCAAGTGCCGAAAAAATCAAATAAAAACACGCTCTCACACAATATAAAGTCTTGAGAATGCAATAAAATATAAACGACACGCTTAAGTCCGAGTATAAAAAAAAAACTACAATGTTAATATGTGTGTGCATGTACATATATAAGCCCCAAAAATAATAATAACATCCAATTGGTGCACATGAAAAAACAAGCACAAGTAGAAAAAAAAAAACAAAAAGATATGCGACGATGCATCCCATACAAAATTCAATTATTGTGTTCTTGCTATATTTAAGCTGGATACACTTTAAAGGACTTGTTAAGGAATATAATAATTACTTTTAAAGAAAGTTAAAACTTTCAAAGTAACACAGCTGTTTAAGGGCCTTTGAAATTAATGAATATGCAAATGACAAGATGGAAAATAATATAAGAATAGAACAAATTATTCTCTTTCCTAAATAGCTTGGTTCAGTTCATAAAAACTTTCATTATTATTATTGTACAAAAGTACTTAAGATAATGTATACTTTTTAGATAAAGGTTGAACCAAAGTTTAATTAAAGTATAACCTTAAATTTTATATATTTATTCTTATTGCTTTTTATGGCTGTTCCCTAAAATACGTACACCTTATCAATCTTACAGTTTCGTTTATTCCTTTATATGCATGAGGACAGTTATTAAATCTTCCAAGTTATATACTATTATAAATAGTAGATTTTTTCATCTTACTTTTGGGGTGGTAATGTAATTATTAGTATAAATAAATATTAGTATAAATAAAATTATTTAATATTTGAAAATTCTCTACAAATTGGTTTTAAAGAGTATTGACACTTCGTCACTTGCTGAACACAATATTTGTTGTTATTTATAAAGCGTTGCAGCGACAGCTGCCCTTTGGCAGCGTTGCTTCTTGCTCTCTCCCGCTCGCCCGCTATATCTCTCTCATCGTGCAGTTGCCATTTCCGTTGCTATCTGTCGCGCGGCGCTTGACTCTCGCTCTCTCGCTCATTCTACACTCCAGGGGTGAATTGTCCGCCGCCGCCTCGTCGCACTTCTTTCATTTACTAGTGATTCCTTAAATGCGATCGCTGCACACACTTCACGCTCGGCACAACCCATGTGTTGTTGTTTTATTTATATGTACATATATATATAAATATATATAAATATATACATATATATGCATATAATCCTATGTACTTAGATTACATCGCTTTGGCTGCTTCGCCTCAGATGCAGCAGCTGCTGCACTGATAAGCGCCTTCAATCATTTTGCGCCAGTTTTATAATTCATTGGAGCCAAGTGCCAAAGTTCTATTGTGCAGGGCGTCAACTGGATAAATTATATTCACGCAATTGTTCTTTCATTCGAGCGGGAAATTTAGTTGGTCCATGATCTAATGATCATTAGGCTCCAAGTGGCCACTTGAGCCACGTGATGAACACAGCAAATCCATGATTTCTTGTGCTTATCTTTCTTGCACTTCAGACTCGCTTATAATTATGAAAGAATTATCATAAGCTTCATTTCTTGAGTTCATTAAATACATTTATGGATTCGCTTGTCAGATAATGTATGAGCCTAGACCTCTTATCTTATAAGAATTAATAATAGTACCTATAGCAATGTCTTATGCGTCTTATAATCATAATTGCTGCTGCTTAGATAAAGAAGTTTTAAGAGATATATATTCCTGATGAACCTTTGAACACAATCTAATTTTTTACTATTTTATATAAGTAGTAGATTAATAAGTAATTCGAAAAATACAAGTTACTTAAGAATCTATTAAAAGTTGTATTTTTCTATGAAGAGAACATTAAGTAGAGTTTTACAAACTATGTTAAAAAATTCAGTTATATGTTTCAGCTACAAATATTCGAATAGTGCTACAGTCTTCTTAATCGTATTCAAGAATCAGTTAAGCGTATTGTGTAATACCTTTTATCACACCTGAATAAGCTACAACTGATGAAGCCAACATTTTTTTATATTTTTGATTTCCCTGGGGCTGCCTTTTTATTGATTTCACGCAACGTAATTAGTAAACAAAGCAAATAAAAAACTTGTATCGGTTCTTTCAAACCTCGTACGTCAACTTCTAAGCCAATCGATTATTTTCTTAAACAATCAAACTGAAATTCCGCAACCCTTTCCGCAACATTTACATTTGAAACAACAATACCAGCATGATGTTTCTTTCTCTTTTCAGCTATTGGCGACGTTTATTGAAGTAAATATATAAATGTTTATGACTAATGTAATTTTCTGATTGGATATTTTACATTTTAGAAATGCTGGCTGTATGAAATATAAATAGAAAATTATAAAAACATTTGCCTAATGTTCATTTGCAATTCTGAACTAAATTCAATTTTCAGCAACAAATTGAAACACATGCTCGCAAATCATTAACTAGATAACAATGCAAGTGATAAGGTCATGTATAT